TAATTATCCTGTTTAGAGAGGAGGAATCAAGGCCCAGAGCAGCCGGTCTGAGGGACCCTGGTGAGGGGGAGGCAGAGACCACCTCAGTGTCCAGCCCCGGGGGTGGCAGGCTTTGTTCCAGAGGGCAGAGTTCATCTCTGGGACCCTGGCCTGATGCTGTGCTTCCAGCAGAGAGAGGTGAGGTGGCTGCCTGCCCTGGGAGTTCTGGCTGGGCCCCGGGAGTCCTTGGTCCTCCTAATCCTGGGTAGTGGCGCTGACACAGACAGTGACAGTGGCACCTCGGGGAGCCTTGGCCAGCCTGTCCCAGGGAGGAGCCCGTGCCTCTGCAAATGATCCCTGGCTAAGCCGCGTGTCCCTGACGCCGGGAGGCTGGCACGGGCTGCCCCCCAGCTCGCTCCCTGGCCCTCCCATGTCCCCGCGGCAGTGTGGCCCTGTGAGCAGCGGCCCGGCAGTGCATTTGCTGGGCCCCCGCTCTGGACAGAGGGTATGTCTCCACCCTGTCCTGGAGTTCTGGGAGCCCTGGGAGATGGGGGCCCTCACTGCCAGGCGGGTGGAGAAAGTGAGGTTCCGAGAGGACCTGCAGCTCGCCCAAGGTCTCTGAACTGGCCGCCCCGTGTCTTCCCTGCTGACCCCGCCGCCCCCCCCCCCCCCCTTGAGGGACACTCAGGCGGCCCTCACCCTGTCCGTCCTCTCACCGGGCCCAGGGAGGGGGAGGCCAAGGGTGTGGAGCCTTGGGGAGCAGCCCTGTGGAGACTATGGACGCCAGCCCATTGCAGCCCGGAGAGGGGGATTATTCATCCCGCTCCGTGGGCTAAGTCAGGCTCCGCCGTGTCCCAGGGGAGCTGAGGGGGGCCGTGTCAGGGCAGCAGCTCCCAGAGGGAATCCAAGGTCTGTCCCTACTACCCTGGGTCCTGAGCCTGACCCGCCACCAGCGGACATGTCACTCCCCAGCCCTGGCCTTCTTCCCTTCTGGGAAGGGCTGGGAGTGGGCTGAGCGAGGGCTCCTGCACCTCCCGGCTCCCAGGTGCTCGGGTCCTGAGACCACAGAGGGGCCTTGAGCCTCGGGAGCCTGGAGCGGGGGTGCAGAAATCAACCACTGACTGGGGGAGGGGGAATTTGTCCCCAGTGACTCAGGGGGTCTGTGTGGTACCCACTCTGAACTGAGACCCCACCTCGGCCCTGTCCCCTGGACCTGTTGGGTCTTGCTGATTCTTCTCCTTCCCCTTCGTCCAATGGTGTTCTCATGAAAAGGGACATTGGGGGGTGTGTAGCCAGCTAGACTAGGGCCCACCCCAAGATCCCTCAATGGCACGTTGGCCCCCAGCTTTGCCACATTCCTTCTCTGTGGTGGAAGGAGAGAGGGCCCCTTAGGGAGGTGCTGGTGAGCACTCTGGGCCTGTGGGGGGGCGGGCACCGTGGGGACAGGGGCACGGGCAGGGGTCCCTGCAGGCCATGTGAGCCAGCCGCTGTGCTGGCTAGGGTGCACCCCGGCCACACCCTGCCCGTTTAGCACCACCGAGGCCTCTGCGTCCAACAGCTGCTTCCTGCCGCTCCCCCTCCCTGAGCTGGTCACAGGCTGTGATTCAGGGGCTCAGCAAGACCCAGGGCTCATCTGTGCCCCGGTCCCTGTGGGTGGGCAGCAGGCGCTGTGTCCCCTCCTTTGCCCCCTCCCCGCTGTCATCTCACGGTGCGGCTCGGCACACCGTTGGTCCTTTCTCTCAGATGCACCCTCCGTCCCTGTGTCCCTGCTCAGCTGTCTCCATGATTCTGCTTTTCAGTCCTCAGTCCTCGCCTCGTGCCTGCAGCTCCCTCACCTCCTTCCTTGCTCTCCCCACCCCCAAGTGTGTGTGAGGTTGCTACCCCACTAGTGTGTGTTCTGGGGGGTCACCTCAAGTGAGCAGGGGAAGGGCGTGTCCTCCTGACCCGAGCCCCAGGCCCGAGAGCCGCCTCCGGCCAGCACCCCCGACCTTGAGCGGGTGTGCAGCGGGCTTGGGCCGGTGCTGCTGCCAGTGCCTCTGGAGCGGCGGCCCTCCCTGCCTGCCAGGCCTCCTCGGATGGTGGGCAGGCAGCCCAGGGACAAGGACAGGGACATGGTGGCTGACGCACCTGGGACAGGGTGATGGGGGGCCCTTTTCTCCGCCCCATCTGAGTCACAGGGGAGAGCGAGGGTGGGGGGAGCTGGGCCCTGGCCAAGCTGTCCTGGAGACTAGGAAGAGCTGGAGAAAGGGCAACGGGCAGGGTCACCTTGAGGGCTCAGAGTGGCTGGGGTGGGGGTTGGGAAGAGAAGAGATGGGCTAGGACTAGCCCTCACCCCAAGCCTGGCCTCTCCTTTCTCCTACTCCCCTCCCCTCCCCCTCAGCATTTTCAGCCCCCCCGCACCTCCTCCCCCAGCACGGCCTGGGCTGTCCCAGGGCTCCAGCAGCTTGCCCGGCAGCCCCTGGGCCTGGCTGAGGGGGCACTGGTTTAGGTAATTCAGGTCTGAGGATGGGGGTGGGGGTAGGGGGGTCTCTGTGGGGCCAGAGTTGCACATGTGCACACATATGTGCACATAATACATGTGCTAAACCTGTCACCATGTAGGCAGGCAGGTATTTTCCCGTGTCCCTGAGAAGCCCCCCGACGCCCACCCCTGGAGCTGGCCATGGGTCCACGTAGCTTGTGCACATAGGCATCCGTGTGTGTGCACACGCCCGCACACCCTGCAGGGCGCTCCGAGCCAGCGCGCACCTGCATGCGCACCTGCATGCAAATGCGCCCGACTTCTTGCTGGAGGAGGTGCAGACGGAGGGCTCTGACAGGGCGAGCTTGGAGACTCAGCCTCCTCCAGCACCACCTCTCTGACTGTGTGGGGGCCGCGGGGGTGGGACTGGCTGGGGTTCCCTAGGAGCCCCGGCCTCCGACTCCGGCCCTGAGACTGTATTGCACAGCCAAGGACAGAAACACTGTGCTGTCTGGGCACCTGTCCTGCCCACTGCCTCCAGGTGCCCCCACCCCATCCCACCCCCGGCCCCTCAGCCCCAGCTCGTCCTGCGGGGGGCTAGGAGGTGTGAGGGCACCTGGCTGGAGATCCCCATCACCACAGCCTCTGACTCCGTCAGCCTTTAGTCGGAGGGGTCATCTGGACGCCCTGGTCACCTGCCGCCTCAACAAAAACTGCCTGCTTGGACTTCCTGGGGCAGTTTGCCCTCCCCACTCTCCTCGCCTCCTTCCGGGGCCCTCTGGGGCTTAGGGCTGTAAATTGGTTTTGCTTTCAAGACAAAGGTTGAACATTTTTTTCTCAAAGCCTTTCCTTCCTGGAGTTTCCCCGAGGAGGAGCAGGAAACAGAGGTGGCTTTCTTTATCCAAACACGGATTTCTCCTGCCTAATCCTCACATCCCTCGCCGCTGCCCGGGGCCCTTCCCGCAGCCGGGGGAGCTGGGTGGGAGCCGGAGTCCATCTGGCTGAGGGGCAGCGGAACAAGTCTCCCTGGTCTGGGCTCAGTCTCCCCGTTTGGAAAAGGAGGGTCTGCAGGCTCTGAGCCTTGCTCCGTCTCCCCGCCTATCTGCATCTTGGGCGAGGCAAGATGCTCACCTCCTTCCCCCTTCAGATGGCCAGGCCGGGACCTGGTCCCCGCTTTATGGCTATGGAAACAGACTCAGGTAGTGCACCTGATCCACCTAATTGGGCCCAGTGGACTGGGCTCCAGGTCTCCTGATTTCTGCTGCCTCAGGAGCCTTGATCCCGGCCCAGGCTGTGCTGTGTGACTCACGGCAAGTCCCTGCCCCTCTCTGCTGGGGCTTTGGGGCTTTGATCGTGTTAGTCTGGAGGCCTTTGGCTTTTCTGAGTGCTCCCCTGCCACCCCTGTCCCCCATCTTTGAGGGGGTGGGATTGGAGGTGTGTCTGGCTCTGCTCCTGTCTTTGAGACGAGCGTGTCCCGTGTCCTCGCCTTGCCCGAGACCCCAGCCTCCACATCCCCCTGCCCGGGGGGCCCACAACCACGCTGCTCCGCTCCCCTCCCCCATGGAAGCGAAGACAAGGGAATTATTTTTGGAACAAGAGTGGTTACACAACAAATGAATTATTTATCTCTGGGCACGGAGGAGAGGAGGCATTTTGCTGGGCTTCTTAATTCTTTACCTGGACTGGAGGGTGTCTGCCCGGGTACGTGGCCCTGAGTGTGCACCTGCTTGTCCTGCACAAGGCGAGGTGTGTTGGTATGTGCGCCTGTCTGTGTGCCGTGCAGTCTGGATCCCGGGGGGCATGTCGGCCTTTGTGTGGGCAGGTGGGCGAGCGTGCACACGAGGGTGCTGGGGTGCGTGTGTGTGGGTGTGTCTGTGCCCCTGACCGGCTCATTTGCCAGTCTCCCTCCGTGCCCACTGTCCTCAGACTCTGCCCCTCCTCCCTCCTTCCAGGCCCCAGCTCCCTCCTCCCTCTCTTGCCACCCAGTGCACTCTGCTCTTTTATGTTGGGGACCCTAGAGTGCTGCTGGCATAGAGGCCCCCACCCCCTGCTGTGGGAGGGGGTGGGGAAGGGGCAGGGGGCCTGCAGTGGGATTCGAGGGGCCACTCTGAGCCCTCGCACTGATCTGTCCCCCCTTGGTGCTGCTTTCAGGAACCAGCTGGCAGATGGGTCTCTTCCTTCCTGCCCCGTCTCGCCTGCTCCCCCCTCAGAGCTCCGCTCTGCCGCCTGCCAGAACCTGAGGACAAGGGAGAGGAAGTCCAGCTCCGCGAGCCCTGCACTGTCCCAGCAGAGGAGCCACGAGGGAGCAGGCTGTGGAGCCCGCTGCGCCCCTGGCTCCGGCCTGGCGGTGGTGCCCAGTGCCTGCTGGTAGCGCCCCGGAAGGCCCCTGGCACTTGGCTCTGGTGGCAGTGCCTGCCTCACCCGAGGCCCCCGTGCTGGGGGTCGCCCCCAAGATGGTGGCAGCCCCAGGGAGAACTGTGCTGCCCGCCCCGGCCTCCAGCCGCTAGGCCCTGTACCCCTCACCCTCACCCTGGCCTGTGAGGGGGCCGCGGCCCGCGCCATGCTGCGCCTGGGGCTGTGCGCGGCCGCGCTGCTGTGTGTGTGCCGGCCCGGCGCCGTGCGCGCCGACTGCTGGCTCATCGAGGGTGACAAGGGGTACGTGTGGCTGGCCATCTGCAGCCAGAACCAGCCGCCCTACGAGACCATCCCGCAGCACATCAACAGCACGGTGCACGACCTGCGGCTCAACGAGAACAAGCTCAAGGCCGTGCTCTACTCCTCACTCAACCGCTTCGGGAACCTCACCGACCTCAACCTCACCAAGAACGAGATCTCCTACATCGAGGACGGCGCCTTCCTGGGCCAGGCGAGCCTGCAGGTGCTGCAGCTGGGCTACAACAAGCTGAGCAACCTGACGGAGGGCATGCTGCGCGGCATGGGCCGCCTGCAGTTCCTGTTCGTGCAGCACAACCTCATCGAGGTGGTGACGCCCGCCGCCTTCTCCGAGTGCCCCAGCCTCATCAGCATCGACCTGTCCTCCAACCGCCTCAGCCGCCTGGACGGCGCCACCTTCGCCAGCCTGGCCAGCCTCATGGTGTGCGAGCTGGCCGGCAACCCCTTCAACTGCGAGTGCGACCTCTTCGGCTTCCTCGCCTGGCTCGTGGTCTTCAACAACGTCACCAAGAACTACGACCGTCTGCAGTGCGAGTCGCCTCGGGAGTTTGCCGGCTACCCGCTGCTGGTGCCCCGGCCCTACCACAGCCTCAACGCCATCACCGTGCTCCAGGCCAAGTGCCGCAACGGCTCGCTGCCCGCCCGGCCTGCCAGCCACCCTACGCCCTACTCCACGGACGCCCAGCGGGAGCCGGACGAGAACTCGGGCTTCAGCCCCGACGACATCCTCTCGGTAGAGCCGCCGGCCTCGTCCACCACGGACGCGTCTGCGGGGCCTGCCATCAAGCTGCACCACGTCACCTTCACCTCGGCCACCCTGGTGGTCATCATCCCACACCCCTACAGCAAGATGTACGTCCTCGTCCAGTACAACAACAGCTACATCTCCGACGTCATGACGCTCAAGAACAAGAAGGAGATCGTCACCCTCGACAAGCTGCGGGCCCACACCGAGTACACCTTCTGCGTGACCTCGCTGCGGAACAGCCGCCGCTTCAACCACACCTGCCTGGCCTTCACCACGCGGGACCCGGTGCCGGGGGACCTGGCGCCCAGCACCTCCACCACCACCCACTACATCATGACCATCCTGGGCTGCCTGTTCGGCATGGTCATCGTGCTGGGGGCCGTGTACTACTGCCTGCGGAAGCGGCGCTTGCAGGAGGAGAAGCAGAAGTCCGTCAAGGTCAAGAAGACCATCCTGGAGATGCGCTACGGCGCCGACGTGGATGCCGGGGCCATTGTTCACGCCGCCCAGAAGCTGGGCGAGCCCCCGGTGCTGCCCGTGTCCCGCATGTCCTCCATCCCCTCCATGATCGGGGAGAAGCTGCCCACCTCCAAGGGGCTGGAGGCCGGGCTGGACACGCCCAAGGTGGCCACCAAGGGCAACTACATGGAGGTGCGCACTGGCGCTGGCGGGGATGGCCTGGCCCGGCCCGAGGACGACCTCCCGGACCTGGGGAACGGCCAGGGCTCGGCCGCCGAGATCTCCACCATCGCCAAGGAGGTGGACAAGGTCAACCAGATCATCAACAACTGCATCGACGCCCTCAAGCTGGACTCGGCCTCTTTCCTGGGGGGCGGCAGCAGTGGCGGGGACCCTGAGCTGGCCTTCGAGTGCCAGTCCCTCCCTGCAGCCACAGCAGCCTCCTCGGCCGCCGCCCCTGGGGCCCTGGAGCGCCCCAGCTTCCTCTCGCCCCCTTACAAGGAGAGCTCCCACCACCCGCTGCAGCGCCAGCTGAGTGCCGACGCCGCCGTGGCCCGGAAGACCTGCAGTGTCTCGTCCAGCGGCTCCATCAAGAGCGCCAAGGTCTTCAGTCTGGACGTGCCTGATCACCCGGCCTCCGCCGGGCTGGCCAAGGGCGACTCCAAGTACATCGAGAAGGGCAGCCCCCTCAACAGCCCCCTGGACCGGCTCCCACTGGTGCCTGCCAGCAGCAGCGGAGGCGGCGGGGGCGGCGGAGGCGGTGGGGGTGGCGGGGGCGGGAGCGTCGGGGGCGGCGGGGGCGGCGGGGGCAGCGTCCACCACCTGGAGGTGAAGCCTGCCTACCACTGCAGTGAGCACAGGCACAGCTTCCCCGCCCTGTACTACGAGGAGGGCGCCGACAGCCTGAGCCAGCGCGTGTCCTTCCTCAAGCCCCTGACCCGCTCCAAGCGGGACTCCACCTACTCGCAGCTCTCCCCCAGACACTACTACTCAGGGTACTCCTCCAGCCCCGAGTACTCCTCCGAGAGCACGCACAAGATCTGGGAGCGCTTCCGGCCCTACAAGAAGCACCACCGGGAGGAAGTGTACATGGCCGCGGGCCACGCCCTGCGCAAGAAGGTCCAGTTTGCCAAGGACGAGGACCTGCACGACATCCTCGATTATTGGAAGGGGGTCTCGGCCCAGCAGAAGCTGTGACCCTCTCCTCCCTGGTGAGGTAGGAGGGGGAGGGCGGGGGGCACATGGGGAAGGGCCCCGGCAGCCGGGCAGGGCCGCGCGGGGGGCCGAGGCCGAGGAGTGGACGCACACGCACACCCACACGCACGCACCCATGCACACACCTGACCACCACCTGACTGTGAACAACTACCACCCGACAATAAGGGACAGGAAAACAAAGACACGTTCTCCTTAAAGTTTACACACTGATACCGAAACCAGGCGTCTTTACTGTGCCGCCCAGGGACTCCGCTGGGGTGTGCCGGGCTGGGTGGGGCAGGAGGGCAGGCAAGGAGGCCAAAGGAGGGTGGAGTCGGGGGCTCTGGGACTAGGGACAGGCTTGGGGACAAAGGAACCTGGGGCACAGATGGACTGCAGTCCCTCTGGGGCAGGGAGAGGTCCCCTGTAGGGGGACAGGTCACTAGGAGATCCAGCACCAGGTGAACGAACACTGGGCATTGTTTCCTTCCTCTATGGATGGGGAAACTGAGGCCCAGAGAAAGGAGGTGCTAACCCCAGGGTCACAGGGCAGGTTAGAGTCAGTGTCCCAACTTCTCAGCCCAGTGCTCGCCCCCACCTCCGGTGGGTCCCTTGGGGCTCCCATCCTCCACCCACCTACCACCCCCTTCCAGCTGTGGGCTCCTGGGCGGAGGGACTTGAGAACGAGGTGGGTGCTTTTTCTTTCTAGAAAGCCCACGGCCATGCCCTCAGAGCATGTTGCTGATTCATCAGCTGGGGGCCCTTTGCCCCCCATGCCCGACCCGAGAGGCAGGAGGCCCTGCGGGCAGAAAGAGCAAGGGTGCAGGGGACACCCCACCAGCCCCTCCACGCGTCTTCCAATGGCCTGGGAGCTGCCCGTGGGGCGGAGGAGTGTGGTGGGCCGACTCCCACCGCCTGGGACGTAGGCCCCCCGACCTCCACTCTGGGCCTCCAGGACTTCACTCACCCCAGAGGACGCAGCGAACTGTGATGCCTGGGGCAGCTGGAGGCGAGGTGATGGGGACCTTCCCGCCCGCGCCCCTACTTCCTGACCTCCTGCCCGTCTGGTTCCCAACGTGGGATGTTGGGCAGCGTCTCAGCCTGCCTGGAGGAGGGAGGGCTTTCCCACCCGCCCTCGTGGCTGCCCCCTCCCTGGCCCAGGGGCTCCCGTATTTCCATGGATATGTGGAAATAGCCCCTCCTCCTTTGCTGACCCCCACCAACATCGAACAAAGCACAAACAGTGAGCAGCCCCCTCACTGGGGAGGGGAGCAGGCTGGGTTGTGGGGCCCCTCCCTGTCCCCGGCCAGCCTCTGTTGCCATGGCAACCCAGAGCCTGGCAGTTGGGACCGTTGGGCTCCTCCTGGTAGTTGGGACCATTGGGTTCCTGGGGTGTCTCCCAGTGTGGGCCGCAGAGGGTGGTGAGGGAGGGCAGGGCTAGAGGGCAGCTGCCTTGCTTACGAGCTAGGGGCTGCTTGGGGGTGCTCTGGGGCAGGTTAGGGGCCCCGAACACTGTCTGGGTGCTGAGGGGCCGTAGTCATCTGTTCCTTCCCCTTCGGTGGGGAGGTGGGCCGGCGGGTAAGGGTGACTAGCGTGCCCACCTGCCAGCATCTTGCTCTGCACACATCTCAGGATGGGGATCAGCCCACGCAGCCCCCCTCACGCCCGCCGGGGACCCTCTGGCCTGTCTCCCAGTTGGTTTTCTTATTTGGGAAGTGAGACTGGGGTGAGGGTGGGCACTGGGGTGGGACCGAGACCTGCACTGTGTGGGGGGCTCTGACCAAAAAAGCCAGTGCCACTTCCTGGGTGAGCGACCCCAGTGACCTTCCTGCCAGGGGGCGGACAGTGGAGGGTCGGGGGGATTGGGGCTCCACTGAGGGCCTCGCGCACACCCACTTGGGGGACAGACCAAGTCTGGGACTCACTTTGGGGTGACATTTACAAAGAAAGGACTGTTGTGGCAAGTGGAAGGGAGGGGCCGCATGAATATGCAGAGCAGACCTCCCGCACCCCAGACCCGCTCCCTCCGTCCTCAGCCGACTGGCAGACCCAGGAGAGCAGGGGCAGAGGAGCCGGGTGCGAGAAAGCAGACCCTGTTAGATTTGCATGATGATTTTCCTGTATTTTTCTGAGCAAACATCTGTCGTGTATGTGCTGGTTTGTCCAGACTCCCCTGCCCCCCTCCCCACCGCCCCCCTTTTCCCACATACCCTCTATTGTGATCTGACAAGCAGCTCTTGACACCAGGGGAGGGGCCAGCTCTGCAGAAGACCCAAAACAGGTGCCACCAAGCAACCCTTCCCCACACCCACACCCTGTCTTTCTGAACTTGGGGCTCACAAGTGCCACCTCCCTCCTCCCTCCATCTCTCATGTCCACAGCACCTTCCCCTCCTCCCTGCCAGGAAAGGGAGCCCCAGGAAAGGGAGCGTGGGAAGACCTCTCCCCGTCCCACTTGCTCCCATTCTGCAGATGGAGAAGTTGGGGCCCCCAAAGGTGCAGGGGGCTGTGTGATTTGGTCACCAGGTGGGGTGCGGGGTCGGTCCCACTGCTGAGTACAGGAGGCACAGGGCTTGGGACTTCAGGGACAGCTTTATGAAGGAGCGAGACCTGAGGGAGGAACCGGCGGGAGGAAGTGGCGAGCCGGAGCCAGAGGTTGGCCTGGCCTCCTGGGAGGTGGAGCCGCCCACGGGCTCTGGCAGCAGGAGCCACAGCCTCTGCCGTACCCCATCTTCCTGGTTGAAGACGACCTGTGAAACCTCAGAGGGCTCACTTCAGGGAGCTTTAAGGATAGGTTTCTACCTTAACAGAGAGGGTCCTGCCACCCCAGGAGGCGACCAACTTTCGTGACCCAGGTCACACCGATTTGGGGGCAGAATAGTTCCTAAAACCCAGGCCTCTGGAACCCGCCAGGCCTGCTCCCTCGGCGGCCGACCACTGCGCTCTCTGTAGCCCGCCAGAGGCTCCCCGCATCCGTGTCCTGCCAGGACAGTCCTTCCCCCGGGATCAAAACATGCACGGAAGACGCCTGAGCATTGTCAGGGCATCTGGCTGGCCAGGGCCCCCCGTTGTAATGGGGAATGGGGGACCTGGGTCGTGGCCCGGGCAGGGGACCCTGCTGCAGGGGGACCAGCTGGCCAGAGGGGATGTGGATGCAGCACCCTGGACCCCTGGCGTTGGGCCGGGCCTGGGCTTGCTGTCGGAGGATCTCCAGAGGAAATTCCCGGGTGTTCCTGGGAAGGGGCACCAGTGGGCCCACTCTCTCCTGGAGGGTACGGCCGGCACCCTTCACCCTCTGTGGGAGCTAATGGCCTTCCAGAAGGGAAAAGCAGTCTGGCGGGAAGGGAGCTTAATCTGGTGCAGACATCGCTCCAGGTTCTGGGCGGGCTTCTCCCCTGTGCGGCCTCTGCTCCCCTCCAAGGGACAGTGCAGCCCTGGGAGGCTCGTGTCCAGGCCGGGGAAGGGCCCTCTGCGGGCTGGCGGCAGTGGACAGGCCCACTTGGGAAGAGGAGGCCTGAATTCCAGAGAGGCAGGGGACAGTCTAGGCCTGGCCGAGGGTCTCTGATGTTCTCAGCTGGGAGTTGCTCCTCTGTCCCCCCCTCCTGGAAATTGAAGAGGGGAAACAGAAGCACAGGAAAGGGAAGGAAGAGAATCTTCTGGGGTCTCATAAGGACAGAGGCCAAGAAGGGGGCCAGACATGGGGACAGTAGTGACAGGTCCCATCTTAGAGGGGGCTTATATGCAGTGAATGGACAGCCACAAAAGGTTCCCCGTGATGGACACTGTGCAGAGAATGAAAATGGGGTGACGGAGGAAGGAGGGGCTGGGGGTGCTCCTCAGAAGAAGAGATCATCAGCGGCCAAGCTCTGAATGAATGAGCCAGAGGACCGCCCTGTGGCCACGTGAGACAGGCTGGAGGGAGCGTGTGGGTCGGAGTGGCTGGGTGTCCGGAAGTCCCTCCTCGGGTCACTCCCACACTCTGCCCTGCCCTCGGAGAGAACCTGCCATTGGGCAGCATCACACCCCATTCCTGGCTAAGTAGGCTCTCTTTCCAGGGCGGTGGATGGGTGGACAAGGCATCTAATCCCTGTGGGGGCTTTACGGGCAGGGCTAAAGGTCACTGTGACGGTCGGGGCTCCCCTGATCCCCAATACTGTTCTCTCAGCTGAGACTTCTGCTCCATGATCACCTCAGTCCCAGAAGCCGCCTACTCCCTGCTCATCTAGACCCTACATCCTCCCTTTAAGACAGACCAGTACTTACCCTCCTTGCCCTCAGGCCTGCCCCAGAGGCCCCCGTCAGAGGTCCCTCCCTGCTTCTGAGCAGTGGGGAGAGGAAAAGGGGTGTGGATTGGGGGGGGGGGAGGGTCTGGGCCTCCTCTTTCTTCCCCTGCCCCTCACCAAACAAGTGTAGGGCTGGCCAGGGGCAGGGGGTCCATTTGTGCACCCGCGATCCCTCCCTCCCTCCTGTAGAGTCTACAAGACGACAAGACGCCAGCCTCCTGGCCCTGGGGCTTGGCACCTGATTTGGGTCCTGCAGAGTTGGGCTCGAGCCCTGGGCTATGAACCTGTGATCCCTAGCTGTGTGTGGGCCTTTCTTCCTTCGGGGGGCCTGAACCCTTTCCTTTTCTTCTTTTAGGGGGGTAAGTTCATTTCTTTTCTCTTCCCAATATCTGCCTCTCCCTCTCCCCAAATTCCTGTTTTAAACTGAATGGCACGAAATTGTTTTCCTCAACTCGAAGATTCCTGTATGGAGAGAATCAATTTCTATATTTGCAATAAATTTCTTATTTAAAACAAAGGAGCCAAAGTCTGTGTTGAATGTCAACCCCACTCCCCCACTCCTCAAGTTAGACTCCCAACGCCCCCTTCCCAGGGTCCCCTCCCCATTTCCCTTTCTCACCGGAGCCCGCAGGCGGGGTTAAGGCATTGAATGAGCGAGCACCACCCATGGTCAAGGAGAAAAGAGAGGCGTCTGCCACACAGAGGGTGGGCTAGCAGG